TTGCAGATGGACTAACCATGGGGTCCCAGCGCCTCGAAGCAGGGGGCTCCCTCACCCGGCACGTGACCCAAGAATTTGTGAGCCGGACACTGACTGCCAGCGGCTCTCTCAGCACCCATGTGGACCAACAGTTCTTCCAAACCTGACACCCCCGGGTCCCTCCTGCCTTCTCTCCCTAGCCCCTTCTTCCTGTGCTGTTCCATCCGCCTGCCTGCCGCATGCCAACCTCTAGCCGGAGAGCAGAGGTAGCATGACGCAGGTAGAGGTGCCACAAGGCCTGACTGCACCCTGCCCTGGGTCCAAACCCACACGTAACCAAAGAACTGGAGGCAGCACAAAGACCCAGCCTTTGTTCTGCACTTAATAAAAGATTTTGCTACTGCTTAGCTGCCCTGCTCGTTCTTTATAGGCCAGAGAGGTGTCGGCCTGCGGTAGAACAATGATTCCTCGCAAGGCCCATCCTTTGACCTCCCCCACCCAGAGCGCGCGCACCCACCTCCTCCAGAGGCAGGCGGCTCCAGAGGCTGCCACCGTCCACCGAGGGAGGCACAAGTTTATTAAGCACCCAGCTGTAGGATGAGGGTGCCAGGGGCGGAGCTGCAGCCTCCACCCGCTGCCTCCGCCCTACAGCTGTGTGTCCATCGGTCGCAGGAGCGCCTCACAGGCTCAGCACCTGGGCTCCATCGGCAGCTTGAGAGAGGTAGAAGGTGGCCGTGCCGCTGTACTGCTCCTAGGTGGGGAATTGGGGCTGAGAAACAGGCGACCCGGGTACCCGCCTCTCCTGCCTCCCCCAGCCCCGGTGGCCACCCACCTGTATGTGATGCATGGCGAGGGGAGCAGCAGAGGCCTCCAGCAACGTTACTGTGCAGCCACCAAAGCCACCACCTGTCATGCGACTGCCATAAACTCCAGGCACCGAGAGTGCAGCCTCAACCAACTGGTCCAGCTCGGGGCAACTCACCTCAAAGTCATCCCTGTAAAAAGGGTATAGGAACGAGAGGGAAATAGACCCGGGACCCACCTGTGCCCCTAAAGCACAGGGCGTCCAGAAGGCCTCACCTGAGTGAGCAATGACTCTCCACCATGAGACGCCCAAAGGCCCTATAGTCTCCACGGCTCAGAGCAGCAGCTGCCTGGGCTGTTCTCCGGATCTCACCTACCACGTGCCGGGCCCGTCGGAAGCCTTCCTTGCTCATCAGCTCCCTGCCCGCTGAGGAGGAACAGGGTTTAGCAGCCCTGACTGGTAGCTCAGGTGCGGAGCAGGACAGCTGCTTACCGAACCACCCTCGGAAATGGGCTTCATTATCCCAGGCCTGGTTCTAAAGGCCCTCCTCATCTCAGAGCTCTCTCTCTCGCTGTAAAATGGGACAACTGCATCTATCCATCACTTGAGATCCACAGAAAACTACAGGAAATGGCATGCTGGGCTCCCCGCAGGGAGCCAGTATAGAGCGCTCAATTCTGGGAGCCTGTAACTTTTAGGGCTTTCAAGATGAATGGGACAAAGTGCAGGCCTTGAGATCTTTCTCTGCATAGCCCTGGCTGTCCTAGAACTCACTATGTAGACCAGGCTGGCCTCGAACTCAGAGATCCAGCTGCCTCCAGCTCCTGACTGCTGGGAGTAAAGGTGTGCACCACTATGCTTGGCCTGAAAGGGCCAGCTTACGATTTCAAGCAGGGCAGGGACGCGGCTCTTCGGCAGAGCACTTGCTTGGCACCTTCAAGACCCTGGGTTCTATTCCCATCAATGCCAATTCTTTTTTTTTCCACGTAGCCCTGGTGAAGCTGAAACCCTAGGCTTGCAGGGTTTGGAGGGATATATTTCTCGAGCAGAACATGATGAATGAATGGACCTGGGAGGAGAGGGAACGGCCAGCAGGCCATATGGACATCCCAGCAGGAAGCCTGGCCATTCCTAGGGCAGAACGTGGCAAGCTGGCACTCACCCTCAAGCTCCTCCATCCGCACCTCCCGAAGGCTCTCCTTGCCCAGAGCCTGCGCCACTTCCTCACACTGGCGCCGCCGAATCGGATACTCGCTGGAGCCCAGGGAGTGGCGGACATTGGAGTTAGTGATGAGCACAGCCAGCTTGGGGTCTGACAGGGGCACCAGGCTTGTTTCCAGGGACCTGGGGTCGATAAAATTGGAATGAGGGAGATATCATAGCCAAGGTTCTGCTTCTCAGACAAAACACTGGGCACACTCCACTCGGGAGCTCCTGGTTACAAGGCAGGGGGGGCGGGGGGGATACGAGGGGAGCCCCTGACCTGCAGTCAATCAGAAGCGCATGGCCTTTCTGCCCCAGCAGTGCGATGAGCTGGTCCATGATGCCACAGGGCACCCCTGCGAAGCTGTGCTCAGCCCGTTGACACACCTGGGCCCGGGCAGCTATGGCTCCCGAGTCTGCGGCACAGGGTGAGGTGGGGAAGCTGGGGTCCAGGGAGGGCATAGGGGGTCGCCACAGTGGAGCAGCGGGGCTCTAATGACAATCAAAGGGACTCCGCACCCTCCATCCCTAAATCCCTAAGCCCAGTCAGGGAGGAGGCTCTCAGCACAGAGGCCTCTGAGAAGGAAGGCGGAGCTAAGTCATACCTGGGCAGAGCTGCTGGAGGAAGGTGTAGGTGGCCACTTCCAGAGAAGCTGAGCTGGAAAGGCCACCCCCCAGCGGCACGGAGCTGACCACCACTGCACTGAAGCCAGGGAGGGGAGCAGCTGCAGGGAAAGAAGGGTCTAGTAAGATGGGAGGCAGGGCCGGGCGTTGGTGGCGCACGCCTTTAATCCCAGCACTCGGGAGGCAGAGACAGGCGGATCTTTGTGAGTTCGAGACCAGCCTGGTCTACAAGAGCTAGTTCCAGGACAGGCTCCAAAGCCACAGAGAAACCCTGTCTCGAAAAAACCAAAAAAAAAAAAAAAAAAAAAAAAAAAAGATGGGACACAGGGACTGTGGGCAGAGGCAGGGCACATGTCTCACCAACCTGCCAACCTCAAGAAGCCCACCCACCCTTCCTCGGCTACCCTCTGAGTCTGCCAGGGTAATCTTCCTACTTGTCTTCCCGACCTGGGGTTCCAGAGCTTCCAGAACCTCAGAGTCCTCATCTGTACAATGGGATACCGCCACCCTGGATGAATGGATTTCACAGTGGGGAAATGGCATTCCCAGTAGCAGCCTGGGCCTCATACCTGGATAATGTTGAATCACTCCCTTGACATAATTGGCCCATTGTGGGGTTCCAGGCTCCAAGGACCGTAGGGCTGTGGGCAGTGGGAATTGCAGTCGCTGGGGCTCATCTGCGTTCTTGGAGGTGGTGAGAAGAGACACAAGCCCATCTGTCCGGGGGCTGCCGACCAGCACGGTCACAAGCTCCAGAGCCTGAGGGAGAGGGTGTGTCATCTATATCGGCTGACAGAATAAGGTCATCCAGGGCCACAGGAATAACCACAACATTTAGTTTTGGATTTTGTTTGCGTTTGTCTGTTTTTCTAGACAGGGTTTCTCTGTGTAGCCCTGGCTTTGCTGGAACTCACTCTGTAGACCAGGCTGGCCTCGAACCTACGCAGATCTGCCTGCCTCTGCCTCCCGAGTGCTGGGACTAATAAGGGTGTGCATCACTCTCAGCCCACAAACCATGAGTACACTGAGGGGAGGGGTTTGTGGATGGGTGCAACGCCTCACTGCAGGTAGGAAACTGGTCTTTGGGGTTCCAGAATTTGCCTGGGTCTCCCCAGGGTGACCAGAGCTGCCAGATTCAAGCTCATGGTTCTGTTGTCTGGCCTTGGGGGAACAGGCTCAGTTTGAAGGGAATGATCTTCAGTATAGAGCTGGTCATGGGAGCTTAGAGTCCAGCCTCCTGGGTCTTCAGGGTGGGGCCAGCTGCAGCCAGAGTGCAAATCTGGACTCTGCCCGGGGCACTGCCCCCAGCTGAGGGCCAAAAGGGACAGATAGCAATCTTAGACAAAAACAGGGTCAGAGAGGCTCCAGGCTTCCCATCTGGGGCCAGCCTCCACAGGGCTCTGACCCCTCATTCAGGAGCTACACAGGGCTCTAACCCCATTCAGGAGCTACACAGGGGAGCAGACAGAGACCCAGGCTGAACCCTTGGAAAGAATCACACAGGTCACGTACCAAGAGCCAGCTGTGTGACTTTGAGCACGTCACTGGTGCTCTGTGGGTCTACTGTTTCCTCTGTAAATTCAAAGGGCCGGGCAAGGAGGGCTGAATTTACAAAGGTCTACCCTTGCATAGGTCTAGGTCTGTCTGTGCTGCAGGCCCAACCAAGGTCAGGGAACTAAACAACCTCCTTTTTTTTCTTGTTTTGGGGATAGGATCTCACGCTGAAGCCCAGGCTGGCCTTGAACTCGCCATTCTCTTGCCTGGGCTTCCTGGATACTGGGATTATTAGGCATGCGCCACCATGCCTAATAATCTCCTATATGGCTACCTTGGTCCTCACATTTTTAAGAGATACATACTTCCAATTTGAGGGCGATGATTAACAGTCCCCAGAAGGCGGGCTCCAGAGAGAAGACAAACACACCCCTCCCAGCTTCGGCTTCCTGTCTTCACACGTGGACGACTGCACGTCCCGGGGTCGCTCACGTGTGCTGGACCCCCGTCACTCCGCCTTCCCCCTCAGAGAGTACTCGCCCTCCCGCTCCTCCTAAGCTAGCCCTTTCCCTACCGCAGGCTGGGCCACTGCACCCAAGGCTCCCCGATGCGGCCCCTCACCATGGGCAGCACCAGGCCCTGGTTGTAGTCCGTGTGCTCCCCGATGAGGTTGACGCGGCCCGGCGCAGACACTGCCAGCTCCGGCTCAGCTCCGAACTCCTCCAGGAAGGCCCGCCGGGCCTCGGCCAGGAGCTCCTCAACCTGGGGCGGTCTCCAAGCAGCCATGACGCTCGTCTGCAGCAGGGTGCACCGCCCCGCGGGATGCTGGGGGCGGAGCCACGTGGCGCGGACTCACATTCCTGTGCCACGCGACGCCCCGCCCCGCCACGACGGCCCCGCCCATCCCACCTGCAGAGCACCGTTGAAGCTCAGTTCTCCAGCGCCCGCAGGCTCAGGCAGCTGACAGCCAGAGGGGGAGAGACCCGGGTGAAATTCTGTATCCCGGGGGTGTCTTCTCAGGACTTTGGGGGCTCCCACCTGAGTGGCAGTTAACACGAATGGAGATCTTAGCTGTCCATCCCTGAACCTGGAGACTCTTAATGCGCTGCCCAAGGCCATCATCCCCCCAACACAGTGAGGCAATGGAGCTGTCAGCAGAACACCTGAGCGCCTCTGAGGTCATGAGAGCGAATAGTTATGCGAAGCCATCAGCCCCTGACCATGCGTCTCTAACAGGGTGACGTGGTATACAGTCTAAGGATACACAAGGACAGTCAAGCTTGAAAGTGACCAGAGAAGGCGCCTTTTCCAGGCTTTTTTTTTCTGGCCCCTAGCGACGGAGAACTGAAGGAGAATGCCAGTGGTCAGAAGCAAGCCCAGGCCCTCCTCAGAGAACCAACGGCTACTGCAAAATGAGGTTGTTTTGTTGGTTCCTAACAAGGTCTTCCTCCCTCAGAGCATCTGCCTAGAACCTCTATTCTGGCCCACATTTTTGCCTGGATGCCTGCCTACACCTGCTCACCTTGTGTGAAATCTTGCAATGGAAGGGAGGACTGGAAAACGGGGAGAGTAGCCTGTCTGGGGTTACAGAGGGAGGAGCAGGGTGGAGAACTGTGGCCCCGGATGCAGCTTGGAGTCAGCAAGGAAGTCTGTCCGCAGATTGCACAATTGCATTCAAAATGCAGTTTAGAGCCGGGCGGGGGTGGCCCACGCCTTTAATCCCAGCACTTGGGAGGCAGAGGCAGGTGGATCTCTGTGTGTATGAAGCCAGCCTGGTCTACAAAAGCAAGTTCCAGGACAGCCTCGAAAGCCACAAGAAACCCTGTCTCAAAAAACCAAAACAAACAAACAAACAAACAAAAAAAAAACTCAGCTTAGGAACTTGGCGAGTAGGTCATTGATGAAGCCTCTACTTACCAGGCTCAAGACCCTGGGTTCAATCCCCAACACCAAAAGAGAATCTAGAAGAGCAGGCAGGGCTAAGGCTTTGTGGCCTGGAAGGAGGGGAATGTGGATCAGAGGTAGAAACCCACATTCAAACAGACACACAATTTTTTTTCAATAAAAATATTTTCCCCTCCAAAGCCACAGAGAAACCCTGTCTCGAAAAACCAAGAAAAAAAAATTTCCAAGCCAGGCATGGTGGGTGGTACACGTATAATCTTAATAGACTCAGGCAAAGGAGTTCCGGTTTGAAATCAGCATGGGCTACATAGCAAGACCCTGTCTACAAAACTAACAAGTAAATAGGTTGTGTTATCAAAAGATATGTAAATTGAGAAAGCATGATGTAATGGCTTGTAATTCCAGCACTCAGGAGGCAGAAGCAGGATTGTGGCAAATTCAAGACCAGTTTGGTCTACACACGGCTGCATAGCCAGACCCTGTATCAAGTGTGTATGGTGGTGGGGTCTGCCACTAAGTAATAAATAAATGCCTGTAATCCTAGCTCCTGAGACCGAGGCACGAGGATAGAAAATTCTAGCCAGGTGTGGCGGTACTTGTCTTTCATCTCCCTCCAGAAGCCAGAAGCCAGAGGCATGCTGGAGTTCAAGGTCACCTTACATAGTGAATTCCAGGCTAACTTATACTCCGAAAGACCCTGTCTCAAAACACAATAACACAGACACAGACACACACACAATCAACTGCTGGGGCTGGAGCGATGGCTCAGAGGTTCAGAGCACTGGCTGCTCTTCCAGAGGTCCTGAGTTCAAGTCCCAGCAACCACATGGTGACTCACAACCATCTATAATGAGATCTGGTGCTAAGACAGAGAAATCCTGTCTCAAGAAACAAAATGAAACAAAAAAATCAACTGCTAATTTCTTTTGACAAGTGGGGTTTTTTTGGGGGGAATTGTTTTCGAGACCGAGTTTCTCTGTGTAACAGTACTGGCTGTCCTGGAACTTGCTTTGTAGACCAGGCTGACCTCAAACTCACAGAGATTCGCCTGCCTCTGCTTCCCAAGAGCTGGGATTAAAGACGAGCCACCAACACCTGTCGACAAGTGTACTTTTTTTTTTTTTTTTTTTTTTTGTTTTTCGAGACAGGGTTTCTCTGTATTGTTTTTTTGGAGGCTGTCCTGGAATCGGCTCTGTAGACCAGGCTGGCCTCGAACTCACAGAGATCCACCTGCCTCTACCTCCCGAGTGCTGGGATTAAACGCGTGCGCCACCAACACCCGGCTGACAAGTGTACTTTTTGAGTACACTTCAAATAGCATTTTTTTTTTTTGCATAACCAAAAACACAACAATCCCAAGTGGCCTTTGGAGGGGCTGAAATGACAGTCAGTCAGGAGCCATGTGTGCCTAGCAGGCACCGCCCTGCTGTGCCGGAGCTGTGTGGCAGCCCCTCTCCCTGCACATTCTCTGACGAGCTCAGAGATCTAACAGTCCACACGCCTGTTCAGGTGAGCTTGGGTAAGTACAGTCAACCGCTCTGAACCCCATGTGCTCATTCCTGCAACGGGGCTGGTGTTTGCTCTTTGGGCCTTAGTGTCTACAGTGCTCACACGCACCTGACACTTAGAAGCACAGAATAAATGTTTGCTCTCCCTATCAAGCTTTCATTAATCCAACAGGCATTATCGAACTCTCCTTCGTGCAACTGGCCAGAAAGATAAAAAACTCCTACCACTTGGTTGGGAGGCAGACAACCTTAAATCTGACCCCCTCTAACTGAGATAAATGCTATGCTTACATTGAGGTGTGGGGTTTTTTGTTTGTTTTTTGAGAGAGATTATAATGTGCAAACCAGGCTGTCCTTGAGTTTTTGGGTTTTTTTTTTTCGTTTTTCAAGACAGGGTTTCTCTGAGATTTTTTAAACGGGGTTACAATAGTGAGACCCTGTCTCAAAAAAAATTTTTAAGTCATGTATGATGTCAGACAGCTTGAATTCCAGCACTCAGGAGGTAGAGGCAGGCAGATCTTTGTGACATCAAGGCCAGTTCAAGGTAAGATCTATGTCATCCTGGCAACCCTGAAATTCACTATGTAGACAAACTAGCCTTGAACTCACAGACATCTACCTGCCTCTGTCTCCCTAGTGCTGGAATTCAACGTCATGCCTGTTTTATTTGTTTTGCTTTGTTTTTGTTGTTGTTTTGGTTCAGTTTTCCCAGACAGTTTCTTTGTGCAACAGCCCTGGCTGTCCTGAAACTTGCTCTGTAAACCAGGCTGACCTCGAACTCAGAGATCCACCTGCCTCTGCCTCTCAAGTGCTGGGATTAAAGGCGTGCACCATCACTACCAGGCTTCACTTTGCTTTTGCATGTAAATATGTGATGTCTTAGCTTCCTGCCCTGGCTGCATGCCTCCCCTGCAATTATGGATTCTCTCTCTTTGGAATTAATTGTAAGCCAAAATAAAGTCTCCCATGAGTTGCTTGTCATTATGGTGTTTGTCTCAGCAACAGAACGGAAACTTGAAGGTGCTGGCTTGAGCAGAGCTTGTGAGAGAGGGAAAGGGAGTCACCAGCCTTTCTGACCCCACAGCCAGGCTTTTACTGCCATGCTTCTCTGTGTTGAAACTCTGATCACTAGCACTGGGCATGGGTGATACAAACTTGGAATCCTGGCCCACAGGATGCTGAGGCAGGAAGATCACTGAACTCTGTGGTAAGTGACAAGACTCTGGCGAGTTGAAGAATGCAGAGGTAGGCAGGTCTCTGAGTTCCAGGCCAGCCTAGTGTACCTACAGAGAGCATGTTCCAGGACTGCCAGAGCTACAGAGAAACAAAAGTAAAACAAAACCCAAGGCTCTGGCACACCTTTAACCCCAGTAATACCAGGCAGTTGACAGCCAGCCTGGGCTACATAGTGAGTTTCCAGGCTAAGCAAGTCTCCATAGAGGGACCCTGCTCCCTTTTTAAAACTGTCCTGTTACGCCAGGCGTTGGTGGCGCACGTCTTTAATCCCAGCACTCGGGAGGCAGAGGCAGGCGGATCTCTGTGAGTTCGAGACCAGCCTGGTCTACCAAGCGAGTTCCAGGACAGCCTCCAAAGCCACAGAGAAACCCTGTCTCTAAAAACCAAAAAAAACAAAAAAACAAAACAAAACAAAAAAGCAAAAACAAAAAACAAAAAACTGTCCTGTTGGGCTGGAGAGATGGCTCAGAGGTTAAGGGCACTGACTGCTCTTCCAGAGGTCCTGAGTTCAATTCCCAGCAACCACATGGTGGCTCACAACCATCTGTAATGAGATCTGGCGCCCTCTTCTGGTATGTGCAGACATACATGGAGGCAGGATGTTGTATTCATAATAAATAAATCTTTAAAAAAAACAAAAAACAAAAAACTGTCCTGTTACAGGAACTCTGTTCAGAAGGAAGTCTGCTTTGACCTTTGGCTCCCCTCCCATCTCCTTGCCAGATGTCACAGTACTGAAGAAGGATAGCCCCTCCATGTGGACACGGCATTCCACAAGGTCAGTCTCTGCCCTGTTAGCCAAGACGCTGTCAGCAACACAACTACTCATAAGTACTCCAAAGATGCCTCCCAAGGCAGAGCTAAACACTCATCTCGTGAGCTTTTCGTTTTAAAAGATTTTTCATTTTTAAATCACATATGGGGTGGGTAGCCACTTCTGGGTATGTGCGTGGGAGTGCAGGGGCCAGAGGTGTGGGACCCCCCGGGGCTGGGATTACAGATCGTTGTAATAGCCTGGTGTGGGTGCTGGAAATGGGGCTATCTCTCCAACCCCTTGGGTCTTCCTTGATAGACTGATCTTGTTTCATCACCAAGTGCTGTATGTTTAGGCTAGCTCTGCCTTCTTCCTTGCAGGCTCAGCCTGGCCTCCCCAGACAGGACCTGGGTTCTTATCTCCCAAATGCATGTCTCCGATAAAGTTTGCTCTGTCCAGAGCTCACCGTCCTACCCATTCTGGGAGAGTCTTGTTCCCTTGTTCCTGGTAAGCTCTCTTTGCTCTTATGTGACAGGTGTAATAAACGCTCCGACAGCACGGGTGATTCAGATTCAAGTTGGCACACACTGAAGGCCTGATAGTCAGCAAGACAGCACCTACAGGGTAGAGCTAGTCTGTGTTCTAACTGGTCGTTGCACTGGACTTCTCTGATGAAATATTTTCACAGTTGTCCCCTGCACTTACCATGTCCAAGTTTGCACAGGCTGTTTCATTAAGTCCTTGAAAGCCTATTGGACAGAAATTTCATTTTACAGAGAAAGACAAAAGAGAAGGGGGCTTTGGAGTCATGAGCCCAAGCCTATTCTCTCTGCCACCCTCCAATCGCTCAGCTTCTCCAAGGCCATCTCCCCCTGCTTCCCCAGCAATGGGCATCTGCATGGCCTCCCAGCCTTCTCTGTGGGGAACAGAGGTGAGCAGAGGTCCTCAGGCCGGGCCGAGGAAGCGCTCTCTGGAGTGTGTATGAACTGTTACGACGGGCCACTGCTGTTAGGTGGCACAGTGCTTGGATGAGTGTGGGACAAGCTGGGACACGTCACACGAAGTTGTGGCTGTGCACAGAGTGGTGTTCGTGTTTGCAGTTTCTGGAGTCAGTGGGCCAGCCAGCAGGACCTTGCCAGAAGGGACAGCACCGTCTTCTGACAGACTCTTCATCAAAGCGGTCAAGCAACCCTCACCTGGGCTGCAGCTTCCTCATTCCCTGGACCTGCTGAAAGGAGTAAGGGGCCAACCGTCCGGTCCAGAGTGACCATCAGAACAGCCTCAGCCACCGGGCGGTGGTGATGCCCACCCTTAATCCCAGCACTGGGGAGGCAGAGGCAGGCAGATCTCTGAGTTGGAGACCAGCCTGGTCTATAGAGAGAGCCACAGAGAAACCCTGTCTCTCGAAAACCCAAAAAACAAAAAAACAAAAAAAAAAAAAGGAATTTTTGAAGTCAGCGTATTTTCTGTTCATCTGTCCCTGCATGCCTTCACTATGATTTGCCAAGTGTGGGTGACTAACGAGGCACAGGAGTAAACTGCTATTGTCCTGGGCAAACTGCACACTGTAACCGGTCACTCTCATCTGCAAGCCCTCACAGCTGGGCATGTAACTCAGTGATAGTGTGCTTATCTATCATGCACACAAGGCCAGAAGTTCAAACCCCAGCACACGCACTTACATACACAAAGGCTTCCCTGGACACTGTGAAACGTCTTAACTCCCACTTTCATTCGATCCCAGCCCAAGGATGCAGGAAGCTGTCTAGAACCAAAAATGATGTGTGCTCAGGCCTGTGTAAGCCCAAGTTGCACAATTTAAACAGAACCCTCCAGGCTTCCCAGCAGCCAACATCATGCTGCAAGCCACATACTTGGCTACTCTAGGTAGCAAACTGGGTGAGCCGCTCCTCATGGCTGTCTTGGGCTTCTTTCCCAGCCCAGTCCAACACTAAATGTGACTCATTCAGAAACACAATGTGAACTGCTCTCATTGTACTGGACCACAGTACTGCCCTTCCTCATACCATGTCCATTAAGATACTCTACCTTGACTATCCAAACTGACTTATGGCCCAATTGGGGCAGCCCACACCTTGTAATCCTAGCACTTTGGAGGCTCAGGCAGGATAGGATTCTTTTCCCCACCAGCCTGGGCTACAATGAGGCAACAATTTTTTTTTCCCTGAGACAGGGTTTCTCTGTAGTTTTGGACGATGTCCTGGAACTTTGTAGACCAGGCAGGCCTTAAACTCAAGAGATCCTCCTCTGCCTCCCAAGTGCTGGGATTAAAGGCATGCGCCACCCCTACCCTGCTTGCACCAGTTTCTTTAGCTACTGCAATTTCAATGCTTTGCTGACTACTCAGGTCCATGCCTTGCTAACATTCTCAGACTAATGCTCACCAGTATTGCTCCCTAGCTACAAAGGTGGCTTATCAACGAGTCTCCAGAAGACATGAGAGTGAGTAGGACACTAGTAGCTGGAAAGGGGCTCACCAAGAATGAGTGTGAGGGCCGGGCATGGTGGGGAATGCTTTTGATTCCAGCAGCATTTGGGAGGCAGAGGCAGGCAGATCTGGAGGCCAGGATGGCCTATTTCCAGGATAGCAGAACTGTTCCCAAAACCCAACCAATGAACAATGGAGTAATCGGTGGTAAAATTAGTCAAATTATAACAAAAAAAAAAAAAAAGCGGGACGTTGGTGGTGCACACCTTTAATCCCAGCACTCGAGAGGCAGTGGCAGGTGGATCTCTTTGAGTTCGAGACGTCGACAGGAGCCAGAGAAACCCTGTCTTGAAAAACCAAAAAAAAAAAAACTTGGGCAATTGTGGCCCATAACTTTAATCTTAGCACAGGTAGGCCATTTCTGAACTCAAGACTTCACTGGAGTGAAGACCAGGGCAGCTAAAACTAGAGAAAGCCTGTCTTTGGGGAAGGAGGTGATGGAATTCCACACCTACCAGTGTTACTAACTTTAAGGCCTGCTGCGATGACCCACAAACACCCTCAAAACAAATCCTCAAGAGGCCTAACATGTTAACACTACAAGAATCTGTTTTGTCATTAAGTGCACACCTTAAGTACAGTTAAGATCATGGATTTTGTCAGACCCATGACTTCCTGCAGGCCAGGCAAATACTCCATAAAAACACGAGAGCCTGTTTACAGGATTTCTAGAATTTCCTTTATCCACCAAGCAAAAAAACTGAAATTAAAAATATAAACCAGGTGGTGGTAGCCAATACCTTTAACCCAGCATTTGGCAGAGGCAGGTGGATCTGGGTTCGAGGTCAACCTAGATCACTGAGCAAGTTTCAGGGAAGCCTCCAAAGCTACAGGGAAACCCTGTCTCAGAAACAGAAAATCCTGAATTGATGTATTAAAAGCTTTGTGTACTCAATTTAGGTTTGACACTTCGTTGAATAAACAAGTTTATTTGTAAATTTAGTCAACATACATAATTGACCTAAAAACTTCAATAGGATACTTTTAAAAACCACTTGAAGGCCATCTCTATAAAAGGGATTTTGCCAGGACAGTAACCAGGTGTAATCTAACCCATCTTCATTGGCAGAGGTCCAGTAGCTGAAGCTGTATTCTTACCCCCATGTTTAGACTCCACAAGGAAAAAACAAACCTTGTATAGTTTTCCCCCCCTTGAATATTAAAAAAGAAACAAACTGAACTCAGTCTAGGTATAAGACCAAACAGCACAATGAAAAGCTGCACTAACTAGATCAGTAACAGGTGATGCTGGTGTGAATAACTTATTTTACTCTAGAGCCCTTATAAATAAAATCCCCGTTAGTGTATGCGTCATCAGCTAGAGGGTTAGTTAACATGTGGTAGAATGAGGACTTATGCAAGGGTTAACACGCTTAGCGTTTTTTCTACGTTGTTAAACAGATGCAGTCTAGTCAGGAAATACCAACTGGACTAAATTACACACACCTTAATGACAAGACTCCCCACCACTTGTGAATGTAAAACATTTAATTTAAAAATGTTGAACACTACAATATATAAAATAGCTATTATAAATGCACATAGTGTATTCTATAGCTGCCAGGTTTACTTTCTTGTTTTTCTTTTTTTAGGAAACTGTTACACTGTGGTTAAAACTTGTATCTTCAACCTTTGAAAAAGCCCACATTCTATCACAGTGATGTATGGTTAAACACTTGGATCAAGTCATAACCAGTTTTATTGCAAAAGGACCCTGTACATTTATCAATTCTAGTACCTTAATAGCTACCCAACAAGTCATTAACATACAGAAACATGCATCATGAGAAGCAAGTAGTATCACCCATCCCTTCTGCACATTAGCAACTTGTCACTCCTGAGTCACAGTGCTCACACCACCGAGGTCTGAACTGTCACTCTTCCCATTCATCCTGAGTGAAAGATGGAATGACTTAAGTACAAATGCAACATATTATAAACAATTTCTTACAAAAAAAGTCACAAATTAAACCAAAGTATTTTACAGAATTTACTACAAAATGCCATAAAAACCGCCTTGACTTAAGCTCTCTCCCCCCGTATCCGGCGAGCCAACTGGATGTCTTTGGGCATGATGGTGACTCTCTTGGCGTGGATGGCACACAGATTGGTATCTTCAAACAACCCCACCAGGTACGCTTCACTGGCCTCCTGTTAAGGCAAGAGCCACAGTATTAACTGCCTTACTGCAGAAAGCAAGCCGCCGCCCCCAGGGCCACCAAGCCTTTGTCTGTCTCTCTTTCCTTTATTACCTGAAGGGCACCAATGGCCGCACTCTGAAACCTCAAGTCGGTTTTGAAATCCTGGGCGATCTCCCTCACCAACCTCTGGAAAGGCAGCTTCCGGATAAGCAGCTCAGTCGATTTCTGGTAACGACGGATCTCCCTAAGAGCCACGGTCCCGGGCCTGCAGCCATCAGAGAAAAAGGAGGGCGTCGGAGGGCACACGGGCGAGAGGAGCGGCGGCGGCGGCGGCGCTCGCCCCGGCTCGGGCGGGCGGCCAAGCCATTGTTCCCCCCGGCTCTCTGCCTACCTGTAGCGGTGAGGTTTCTTCACCCCGCCGGTAGAGGGCGCGCTTTTCCTGGCCGCCTTGGTTGCCAGCTGTTTGCGGGGGGCCTTCCCACCCGTGGACTTCCTAGCGGTCTGCTTGGTTCGGGCCATTTTCTTTCAACTGCGAGACAGACAGCGAGCGCTCAAGCCCGGCTGTCGCCGCCCGCCCGCCCGGCGCCCCTCCTCGCGGCAGCAGATGGCGGCCGCCGCCTCCTCCCCCTCCCCTAATGACTCAGGCTGCGCCGAGCCGCGGCCTCCCCCGGGAGGGGGAGCGCGGGGGAGGAGCCACTTCCCGCTCCACGGGCGGCCGGGAAACACCGCGCCGGGGCCGGTGAGTCACCGCCGGGAAGCAGACGGGACGGACGTGGCGGGGCGCCAGCTTCCCTGCCACTGCCAACTCCCCGGGGCTGCCCCGCCGGGAGACGGCCGCCGGCTGCCAACGAGCGCCGCGGGCCCCCCAGCCCCCCGACAGCCGCCGGGCCCTCCGCCGCCGCCGCCACTCACCCAAAGCCGAAGTCTGAGGCCCTTGCTGGGACCGCCGCGCCGCTGTGAGCGCTCAAACAACAGCCGCGATCGCCGAGTGGAACGGAAGATCTTCCTCCAACGAACGACCAAACCGCTCTGCGCTCCAAGCCCCCCGACGCCTCCATTTTTATATAGACGCTTCACGCTGCGTCACTGCGTCATAGAACCCTCATTTGCATACACCAACGACTTTTTCGATTGGCGGGAGCTTTCGCCGACGCGCTGACATCTCCCGACACAAAGGCCGTACTTCGGGCCCGCTTCCTGATTGGCGGGTGTTTGGGCCGCTGATTGGCTGTTAAAAGTGCTTCGTGATTGGGTGGGTGCAAAGGAGAATAGACGAATCAGAGTTTAGCACCAAGCCGCTCTTCTGATTGGATGAAATGGAGCTATGTTTGGATCCTTCTCTTGGTTCCAAAGCTCCACAATAGAAAGTCAATGCAAATGAATTGCGCTGGTCTCACAGAATTAAAAGCAAGTCGGGCCGGCAGGAGCCCAAGACTTTTTGCATCAAAAGAACACTTAAGAGAGATTTTGCAAAAATATATAATAATAACTATTCCAATGTAGAATAAAATGTGTTTCCTGAATTATTTACTTTTTTGCTAGATTTTGATGGTTGAGTACAGTGTGAGAAATGTAATTCAGTAAATCATATTACAGTGTACAGTGTTTTGGGGTACCACGCATACCTATTTTAAACGAAAAAGCAATTGTTTGGTGGGGGAATGGTAACAGATACAAAGATTTAAAATTCAAAAAATTATTTTAGAGTTGGGTGGTGACACACGCCTTTAAT